ATGATGGTGAAAGTATTAGACCACGTAGATTACTGCAATTAGATGAATTAGTTTGTTGTTATTGTTGATCAAATATTGATTAGTTTTAAGCACTTCTTGTGTATTTTGTATGTCTATAAATAACCCATCATTGTTATGGAGTACTCATATTTCCTTCTTTTTGTTGTTGTTGGGAGTACAAATCATTTTATTGTGGACAAATCAATTTATTTACAAATGTGTGTTTCACTTCAAGATTTTTTTTTTCTTCAGAAGAAATAGCTTAACTAGCATTGTAAGTATTTGTGAAAGGCTAGCGGTGACCATTTAGGGAGGAGAATGGGTCTTCGTGATTTACAGTCTGGGTTATATATAGTTATTATGTTAGGACCTTATTATTTAGATTATTAGTATTTACCCTATAAGTTTTGTAGTTCACAATCCTGACTTCTAAATTTATTAGAAACTTAAATACTTACTGATTTAAATCTATTTCATTGGTAAATATATATTATATATTTAATATATTTATAACATCATGATAATGTCATTCTTTTTTTTTAGAACGGTTTAACCTGTTCAACTCGGTAACCTAATGACCCAGTAGAAAGAGCCGTTTTTCAGTAAGGTTTTGTGACTTTGCTGTTTTACATTTATTTTATTTATTTCTCTTTATTAATAATGTCACTAATTTTGTCATTTTATACCAGCATTCATCTGTTACATCTTATAAATAGTATTTTCTCTTAATAGTTTCTACAATGGAGATTTTAAATAATTTATTAATTGGAGAAATTTATAACAGATCTCTATCCGTTGTGCAACTCACAGGAAAGTACTAGTTAATATAAGTAAAAATCAATTATGCTAGGCAATTAACGAAGATTAAGATGTGATGAAAGAGTATACTTAGATCAGCGAGATAATGCAATACAGTTCCTCAACAAATGATTACTAAATACTGACAAATCACGGGCTTGATATTAAGCAGACTTATCTTAACAAGTACTACTTTGCGTAATTATGAAGACTTATGCTAACAAGCATTTCAAATAAAAGAATTATTGAGATGTTATAAACTTTCAAAACTTATACTCTATCTGTCTCATAAATTTTTGTCCAATTTGAATTTTCATTTTTAATACAATTGTACTATAAAACGTGAAATTCTAAATTAGACAATAATTTTGGGACAAAGGAAGTATATCGAATACAATTGCTCCAATTATGTTCCCTATGTACCAAATTGATTATACTAGAACTGAAAATTTAAACTTGACAATTATTTTGCGATGGAGGCAATATACAATGATCTCTTAACATATATCCACTTTTAAGAAACTCAAAACTTTCTTGAATTTTTTTCCCCTATTTTTTGCACATAATTACCACCTTATGTGTTGAGAGTCATGTGGCAAGAATTATGAATCCCACATCGGAGGCATGAGGACATGTGAATCAGTTAATAAGTAAGGTGGTCTCAGAACCCATTAGCTTGAGCTTTTGAGTTCAGATGGGTTTTATCTTACTTATTGAGCTCCATGTTGGGTTTTCTCCTCTAGATAAATCCCCATCAATTGTATCAGAGCCCAGGTTGGGCCAAGTGGGTGGGTGATTTAGTCCAAATTATCTCGGTTGATCTGACTGAACCCAGGCAGTCAAAGGCCCACTACGAGCGGAAACGTAGGGATGGGCGGCCCACTTACTCTGGTGGAGTATAGATTTGGGCTTGTCAAGATAATTTGGAAACCCGATATGGAGATTGCCCATGACGGGGGAGAATGTTGAGAGTCATGTGACAAGGATTATGAATCACATATCGAAGGCATGAGGACATATGAATTAGTTAATAAGGTGGTCTCAGAACCCATTAACTTGAACTTTTGAGTTCAGATGGATCTTATCTTAATTATTGGGCTCCATGTCGGGTTTTCTCTTCTAGATAAATCCCCAACATTATGTATCTTTGATAATCTATCATTTCTAACTATTTTGAGATCAATTACCATCCATAAATTGAAAATATGTGGCCTGTATTACGTAGTCTTACGAACAACACCAACACTCTTTTTTCTATGGCCTAATTATTTTAGGACTTCCTAAAATAGGTCCAATCAAGCTGTTGACATAGTATCGAGCAAAAATAGTCTTATTCTAGTGTGACAAAGCAGGCAAGTAACTTAACGTAGTCCCATTCATATACACTAATTCAAATGCATACAGATATAATAAGATATTATAACCCTATGGAGGAAACCTTTTTTGTCACTCTCAAATGGGACACTTTGCTTGAGTACCTAACGCGAAAAAAATATTATTAGAAACCATCCACATGCACATTATTAGAAATAAATATAACAGTTGCCTTCTTATTTTTCGTTCATTTTTTCGAAGAATGCATTTTCGCCGTAAGGATTGCAAAATCCAACATGGCAAGTAGCGAAGTAAAAGTCTCTCCGACTCAATCAAAGTATCTTTTTTGCAAAATATTATAACTATTGTCAAGTGTTCGCAATATAGGCTACTTGAAAAGACTTTCTTACTATAATCGGTTTCAAATCCTGAGGAACGAGTACCCAAGAGAATAAATTAACCAAGGCATCTTCAATTTCATTCCCACCAGTTGATCTCATCTTTTCACCAAATCCCGGCGTTATTAGGGTCATCCTAGTGAAATAGGCTACAAACTTTAATAACAACCTAATTTTGTAAGGCTTACTTTATACTCACACAGTATGACAATTTCAATAAAACATAAAATATTTGCACCAATAATGATTCCTATTCTCCGACATTAGTTTAAATAATTTTACGAAAGAAACTTATAACCAAACTTCCTTAGATTTAGTACACAGCTTCGTCGAAATAAACCCATATGACGCCGACCACCTGATAAAAAAACTCCTAACCAATCAAATTATATTATTGACCCGTTCTTCGGAAAATTAATCATATTACTTCATTCGTCTCAAAATAATAATCTTTTTTTTAGTAAAAGAAGACATTTTGTACTACCTCCGTCCAAAAAAAATAGTCAACATTGAGTTTTTAAATTTATACTATAAATAGTATAAAATTCAAAACTCAATGTGGACTATTTTTTTGGGACGGAGGGAATATAACAAAGTGACTTTTATATTGGTATAGACGGGATATTATAATACTTGACGGTACAGACTTCCAAACACGTAAGAGTAACCTTTATTTTTAAATTTGTTCATTTGCAAAGGGGAAGCTAACACAGAATTTAATAAACAGAATCTGGGCAGCACCATATGTTTGGAATATTTTGTTCCATGTATAGATTCCAACATTAGAAAACTATTATCATTGCTCAAGATTTATAAATAAGATTATAACGAGGAAATATCATAATTCAAAAAAAAAAATAGTGAGTTAAACGATTTGGAGTTTGGACGTATTTTTTTTCTTTCTTTCTTCCCTTTTTTTCCTTTTTTTTTTTGTTGTTTTGGTTTGGAAGAAAATCATCACGCATTTTATTTGTACATGAATCAAATGAGAATTAAGGGTCCTACAGCATCATGTGTTACGGCCGGTTGGTAGACACTTTACCTATATAGAAAGAGCATTATTATTCTTGTGCTAGTTAAAGTGAGTACAGAAGATTTGCAAATTTGCATGAAAAAAAATAATAATAATCAAATCTTATTAACTCAAGGTGAGAAAGAACCAGGAAAAAGCAGTGCTAGCTCCACTTTGATCTCAAACAATTGGAGGGTTTTACAGAACCCAGCTTCATAAGTGATTTGGTGGTGCAAAACCCTAAAGACTAAAGGTATATAAAAAGGTAACATTAGCCTTAATTTAATGATTAAGAGCAAAGTATCTTATTCTTCTCTTAACCTCCAATTATATGAATGATATTTTATGTTAAATTATAGTCACGCTTCCATGATATGATACCTTCATCGTGGAAAATAGCATCGATCGAGGTAACTTTAAGTAGTTTCATGTTTTTATAATATAAATGCACATTAATCGAACTTAATTTCATAGGTTGAATAGGAAACATTTTATTATGATTTGTTCAAATTAGTGTCAAATTAGGATACGGCAATGGACATGAACTTCTCTATCATGTGGGGTGAATGACAAAGATCATGTCGAATATATTTCTATGCTCTAACAATGATGGGGAAGAATGACTAAGATGGTACTTCTTATTCTTTCTTTTTAATTTCTCCTCCTTTTTTTTTTAGCGAATAAACTTCTTGCTCCTTACCCTCAAATGAACATTTTTTTTTTTACTCCTTTATATTTCTAAGATGAAGAACTATTTTATCTACATTTTTTAGTAGCGAATACTGTTAATCAATATATAACTGTAAAAGAACTTTTTCGATTTCCTAACAAAGGTCTCGGGTTTTTTTTGTCAATTCTTTAACAAATGTGCAATATAACTGTTGAACTAGTGTCGTGGCACATCCGATGCATACTATTATAGTTTCATCAATTAAGAATACAGTTTTTTAGTTTGTATATTTTTGTCTGTCGTTTCAATTCATGCTATCTTTATCAATTTCCTTCAATAAAAATGTGAGTGGTTCAAAAAAATGTGAGTGGTCAAAAGCCTTAAAAAAAAAAAAAAAGAGGCTTGGCATGTGATAATCTTACAATTTTTATACTCCCTCCATCCTACAAAAATAGTCCACATTGAGTTTTGAGTTTTGTGCTATTTTTAGTACAAATTTGAAAACTCAATGTGGACTATTTTTTTGGGACGGAGGTAGTACTAATTTATAAACATGTATACATAGTTGAAATTATCCATTATAAAAAAAAAAATCAAATATAAGACTCGAAGCAATAAAGGATGACTAAGATATTCTTCACACCAAACTTATTATGTTCATGCATGAAACGTCTCCAACTGAATTTATTGACTTGATCACAAGAAGCACACTAGAAGAAAACCCCATTTCTCCTATACGGTAGGTTAAACATATTCTTTCTAGATTAAATGAAGAAAAGACCATTTCAGATATGAGGGCATAATGCTTAAAAGAGAACTTGTCTGTTCAAATCAGGCACACTTTCCCCTCTCTCTTCTATAGACACAATTTTGTTTTTCGGAAGTGATCAACAAATATCACTGATAATATAAATGATAGTGGCACAACTAACAAAAGAGTAAAAGGGAACAAAATTACGAGAATAGGGTGCCAAACCCGTTTAAACTCCGAGTTTCTTTCTTCTTAAAACAAGATATCATACTATAATTTAGCAAGCCATACATAATTAGGTAAGATTGAGATATTTTGCCCTAGTCCTAAACAACAACTAATTCAATATTATGCAGTACAACTGACGTACTCGATTATATTTTGGACATTTTTTCACTCACGTAATTAACACACTAAAACTTCTATACGTACCACAAATTAACCTTTTTAAAACTAGCTATATTTACCTATCCCGATTTTACTACTAGTATACTAAGTAATTAATTCGTTAAACACTCAAGAAGCAGCAGCAACGGTTTCCCCGTGGCCGGAGGAATCAGTACTGGCCGGAGTAGCTGTATTGAGCTGATCGGAATATTTCTTGGCAGCTGTCATCTTAGTATTGTGCTTTTCATTCCTCTCGTCTTGTTTCATCCGTTGCTCCCTGCATTCTTGGCTGCAAAACGCCGTATCACCCCTGTGTTTCATTCCCAAAAGCAATGACCAAAATGAGAAAACAATACATACATACATCTTAATTTTCAAACCATGAATGCAAAATAAAAATGTGCTTCTAAAATTTAAATCAATAGTTTTTAAACCTCACAATTAGGACCCTTTCTTTTTCTTTTTTTTTCAAAAAAGGAAATCTTCGTTAACAAATTTAGTCAACAAAGTTTTCGCAACGGGATGCAAGAATTTAGCTAGCAGTAGTATATGCATTTCACATCGAGATTATTCCAAGCTAATTAAGGAAATTAGTTCGTGCTAATTTACTTGTCGGCAAGACGATAAATTTGGTCACTTCTACACTAGCTACTTCTAGGGGGGGTAATTACAAAAGAGTGTCACCAAAACAAAATAAATCAGAAACAAAAATAATACTACTACTAGTAGCCATTAAAAATAAATCCCTACCAAAAATTCATTCAGAAAAGAAAAACGAAAAACAAACAAAAAAAAACACGCACACACACACTCACCTGTACATGAAAATATCCCGGCCGGGAGCCAAACGGCGGTTACAGAGGCCGCAACTTCTCAAGAAATTTCCCGACCCTAAACCGCCGTAATGATGATGATCCCTCATCATGTAATTGTATCTCGGAGATAACACCGCCGTTAACCGCTGATTATGATGATGATGATCCGTCGGGTGATTATTAGTGTTATTATTATTATTATTATTGGGGACATTCGGGTTCGGACCTACCACCAATGGCTCCGATGGACCCTCCACCGCCAGGAGATGATGACCACCAATTCCATTTCCAGTTAATGGGTTCTGATGAACAAGATCCACCGGCGGTAATTCCTCCACGTCGATCGTATTCCGGGACGGATCGACGGCAGCGGTGGTGATTCCGGCCATGCTCGTCGTTCTTCTCATCTGTTGTGAAGCACGTGTTCGCTTCCCCAACATCTCTCTCTCTTTCTCTCCTTCTTTAATTAGTCTTCTTCCTCTCCGGGCAGAGATTTTAGAGCAGCAGAGTGAGAAAGAAGAGATTCTATAAATGGTGACTGATGAGAGAGAGAGAATATGAGTCACTGTGTGAGTGTGTGTTTTTTGTGTTTTTGGGAGATGATGAAGTAAATGTGATGATAATTGGGAGGGTGGGGGATGTGGTCCGTGCGATGAGTGAAATGAGAGCCGTTGGATCGACAATTTAACGCTTTGATTAGATTAGATTAAATTAAGTAGTCGAATAGAAAAACACGTAGGCCATATTCCTTAAAATCACTTTCTAGTTCAATCTATTTTTTTAATTGTCAACAAGGGTTCCCTGGGTAGTAGTGGGCTTCAAAATCTTGAGGTTCCAAGAGGTCTCAAGTTCAAACCCCGTCAGGAGCACTTTAAGTGCTGCTTATACAAATTTGCAGCCAAGAGGTCAGAGGCAATTCCAGTGGTTAGTTTGCAGCCTAGGGGCACACGTAACAGGACCCGGTGGTCAGCTTGCAGCCCAGGGACACGCGTAACAGGAGGCGTGCACGCATTGAGTCTCTCCCTAATAGTAGTATTTCTTTCCCTTAGTAGACCCTACAAATATAATAGCTAGAATACTTATTATTATAATGGTATATAAAAAGTAAAAAAAAAAATTAATTACTAGTACTACAATTAATTATTTTTGTCTCCATGGAAATTGGCATTACCTTATTTTTACTGTTAAGCCTCCTAATGCAAAAGTGTGCTAATTACAGCTCCGAAGAAGCAAGTTTATGCGACGACGTCATTTGTACTCCTTTAGTTATTACTCTTTCTGTTAAAATGATCGTGTAATGTTCAATATAACAAATCAATGTAATTATTTTTGGCGAAACAAATATCCAACTTCATAGTTTGATATACAAGTGTGAAACATTAGTTTGGAATATGATAAGTTACATTATGGTTTTGTACTCACAAAAATATCAGCCATAATAATAGTGAATATGGCTCTTCTTTCAAACTATAAATGTAAAAGATTTCTTTATAGATAACTTTTTAGGTTTTGGATACAATGAAAAAAGTAATAATAATTAATTTTTATAAAAATACTCCCTCTATTAAAAAATATTTAATTGTTTATACTATTTTATTTCAATAAAATTGACCATTTTTCTAAAACTAAAGGAATACCAAAACCATTGTCCCTTCTTAAACGAGATTTGATCAAAGTGACTTTAAATGGCTTTAGAAAGTGACCTTATATTCTAGCTCATATTGATTGTCAACAACTTTCTTCTTCTCCTTTTCTTGGCCGTTTTTTTTTTTATTATGAAAGAGTAAATTGTTTGATATATAGTCTTTTTTTCAAAATAATTATTTATTTTAAATTTTTTGTTTGAGTACAATTTATATTGAAAATGAAGATTCAAATTGGACAACCGTTTCCGGTGAACGAACAATTCACTTACTATGAATTTAGAACTATATATAAGCAAATTTTGATTTTGATATAGATAAAAACTTTAATATAAAGCTCCAAGCCCGACAAACTGCTTCAAGTTATGCTTGCCTTAACTTGGTTGATTTTACTCAATCACAGAGATTCACACTATGTTATCTTCTGTTTCCCCTCAAGTTTCTGTTGCGAGTTACAAAACCTTTATTTTTTTAGAAGAGATTCACCCAAATGGGATGAGAATTAGTTGTGTATAGGACTTATTACAAAACAAGATGTATTTCATTTCTTTTAAAGATCAGATAAGTTAAAACTCCACTATAACAATGTGTTTTTTAAAAAAAAAAAAAATTCTTAAAAGTTAAAACAAGGAAAACGTAATTATTCAGCTGATTGCATGCGGTGGCGACAGGTGATAGAAAATGTAGTACTCCCTCCGTCCCATAATTATTGTCCAGTTTTATTAAAATAAAATATTTTATTTTTTGTCAAACTTAATTATATTTTACCTTAAACAACCGGATATACCCTTACAAAAGTAATTGTTTAACCACAAAAATTTTATGGATAATGTTTTTTACTAAAGACAAATGTGTAACTTGATCCATAAAAAGTTAAATTGGACAATAATTTTGGGACAAAATTTTTTGGACAAAGTAGACAATAATTATAGGACGGAGGGATATTTGCAATGTGTTAATTTTTTTTGCCTTTTTTAGGGGGGTGTTGTGGGCCAATGTTTGAATGATGAAGACGACATCAACGGTTTATTTGAAGTGCCGGCCCACAATTCCTTCATAAAGTTGAGATTCTTTGGAGGACGATGAATATTCTAAATTTCTCCGTTGTTTTGGGACTGTGCTCCCTCCAAGCTTTCGGGGAAATGGACCTTCCATTATTTTATTTTTTTTCTCATCGCACTATATGACATAATCAAAAGATTTTTTTTTTTTTTGCAATAGTAGTTAAATAATTAACACGCCAGGTCTTAATATTAATAATAATGATATGTGTTAGTCGTGTAATTGGTAGTGCACCGAGTGTAACACAGAAATGTTTGCGTTATTTCACAATGTTGAAACAACATACAAACAACTAATAGATCAAATTACCCCCTCTAATCCCTTGTACTCATAAGTAACAATTATATGCTGAATTTGGTTTTAATTTGTATTTTGTTAATAGAATCAGGTAGAAAGTAATTAAATGAGTCAAGTTATACAAGTTGTTATGCTAATACGTTTATATTATTATTATTTCATTTGTCTTTGGCCCATTTCTAATAATATAATATGCTCTCTCCGGTCCTTAATATAAGTTATTTTGATTTGTTCTATGTTTAACTTAGTAAGCATTTTCAATCGAAAAAAAACTTTAAAAATATTTCATAATAATCAAGAGAATACAACAAATATGAAAATATATTTTTAAGATTTCTTTGTCAATTTTAAATGTGTATTAGATGTAACTTAAGATAAAATCAAAATGCCTTATATTGAGGTCGGGAGGGAGCACCAGCTGGGCATGTTAGGATTGAGTCCACTTGAAGTATGCCACCGACAATAACTTCAAAATAGAATGTATTGTGGGTGTGCTTCCAACTTTCAATAGCTTCACTAAAATTTGTGTGCCTAAAAAGGGCAAACTGTTTCCATCTGTCTTTCTTTTTCTTTCTCTTTTTGAAGCATATGCGTTTACCTGTAATCTTCTACAAACATAAATTGTTTGGGGGAAAAAAAAAGATTAAGGCAGGCCAAGCTACAATTCTAACCTAGTATGTATGTAAATCTTAAGTGTGGTGCTTTCAACTGCTCTCTACAGCTTTGCATTTCTTTCCTTGTTTTATTTATAGAGTAAATTGTAAAAACAAACGAATCACGGAACAATTTTCCGACTCTTTATCTTAAGCCCTTTTTAAATTTTGAGTATTTTAGAGATGATTTTAGTAAAATTTCTCAAGTTTCTTATACCTCAAATTGTATCTTAATTTTCTCATAATCGTCCATCACCATATTTAGTCAAAAAACTAAAAATTAATTAAAAGAACCAGAACATCTTCTGCCGTTGTAGAAGCATTATTATTAGTTTTAATGGGATTGATTATTTTGAGATGGACCCGGATCTAGAGGAAGAGTGGACAACATAACATCAATGGACCAATATTTTTAATCAAAATGGATTCTTATTGGATGAAAGTTGAATAAAAAGATGGTCCTCGATGCTCTTGCATTTGTGCCTAAGAAAATTATTGGCCCATATGGTCTTTGCAAGAGGCCTTTATAAAAGCCCGAAGATGATTGGGTCAGGCACCCAATGCTTTGATTATATTGGCAGAAATTGCGTAGTGAAAAAGTTCGTGGAGTCCACAAAAAGTGAAACGAGGAAATGAATGAAACTGTGTAATTCAAACCGAAATTTGGCATCTCCTCCTCTATAGGAATGCATGTTTTGTCGATACCCCTAATTGCGATAACTTTTGTTAAATGAGGTCATTCTCTCTTTCAAATGGAAGAACTGAAAGTCTTCTAAGTACTTTTCTATTTATTAGAGAAATTTAAATGGTCACATATTTAAATCAACGATACGAACAAACACTTGGTCCAAGTGATAAAAGTATTGAGTCAGTTTAATTATGATCAACGATGATAGAATCACATACTCCAATTATTTTTTGGGCGGTCATAACTCATAAGTTTCTTACCTTCTCATTATTACCAACTCAGACACGTAGCAGCTTGTTGGCATTTTCTAGATTTTAATTAAAGCACTGGTAATGAAGTAGCGAGATTTGACGGCGAATTTGGTTACAACTTTTATAATGTAGTAGTAATACATGTCCAATATTTGTAGGTCATGAAATGCACTTTATGCATGGTTTAATCAAACAGAGAAACAGACATTTATAAGATTGGCATATCAAAATGCAACTCGGATATTTCTTACTTCATTTGTTTTAAAATTGTTGTCAACTTTAAATTTTCATTATTGGTACAATCTGTACTAAAAGTAAAAAATTAGATAATAATTTTAAGTGTGAGAGAGTATTTAAAATCAAAATCACTCCAATATTCAAAACCCAAAAGGAATCACTATCTTTACTATAGACCCGATTTCCATTTTGTGTTGTAAGAATTCTGTTTATTATGTGTTGCAAAAAGATTTGTTCCGAGAAGAACGCTAGTGATACGGGGTTGTGGTTAGAGAGAAGGGGAGAAGTACTAATCTCACATTACGAATTGAAGTTGATGAGGATCATCATCATTACTCAAGAGTAGTGAGCAATAGAAATTCATCTCCTTGTGCAGAAAAATGTGAAGAACTAGTAACGTAAACTTACCCCTGAAGTCAGGAGGATAAGATATGTAGTAGTAGTGGACTATTCACTAATCACTACTCCCTCCATTTCAAAATATAAGTCACTTTAAGCTTGGCACGTATACTAAGTAGACAATTATCTAACAATTAATTTATGTGTTAAATATCTATTTTACTCTTCACTAATTATATTGGAACTATAAACAAGACTATATGAAAATATATTAGCATCATTTATTGAGGGTAAAGTTGGAAAAATGATCATTAATTTGCTTAGAATTTATAAAACGACTTTTATTTTGAAAAATCTCTCCAAACCTAAAATTAAACTACCTATAAATTGAAATGGAGGGAGTATTGTATCATGAACTGCAGTGTAGTAGAGCACTGTGTGACTGTGTGTGACCCTGCAGAAAATGTTTACCAAAATTGGCACCAATGGGATGTTACCTCCTCAAGGACCTCAACCCACATGAAAGAGGCCAGAGGGGCAGAGAGTTATACTGAAACAGTGAGCCTATTCTGGGCTAAAGCCAACTATGGAGTCACATCAATTTGGTTGTGAAACAGCGAGCTTTTCTCATCAGAAAAAAGTTCAATCGGGCCCATATCAGAATAATAATACATCCCATCTATCCATCAATGGACTATTAATTTCCTCTTCATCTCTTCCTCTGTTTTGCCTCTCCTCATACGTTATCTCTCTCTCTTTTTCTCTTTTTCTGTCGTTTTTTTTTTTTGTCAAGAAATGGACAGAGCTAATAAGCTAGCTATAGAGATTTCCAGCTTCCACTGTTACTATGCAAGAAAAAAAAAAGAAAAAAAGAGGGAATTCCCTTCCCTCCCCAGTCCGGGTCATTGGCTATTGAAAAATAATGGGCTGAAAAGACAATGATGGAATTAGTAAAATTTGCACACGTGTTGGTGCTCTGTTTATGATGGCGTTTTGGTACAAAGTCCTCTGTACATGTGATTAGCTAAGAACTAGTGATTCGTGAACCGTAGTACTGGTTTGGAGTTTAACTCGAAAAATGAGAATGCAAAAACTTGTAAAAATAGATAAATGTGTGTCTTTCAATTCAGACTTGTCCAACAATTCTTCACAAAATTTGTGATTAAACAAGTCGTTTGAGGAAGATTGTAATACTTCTAATCTGAAATTATTATTCACTTTGTACTGAAATTTCAAATTAAAGTATAATCATTTTAGGAGAAAGAATATCTCTTTGTAATTGTTATATCTTTGATCATTTTCTTAATGTATGATTATTGTTTTTGACATAATCAAAAAAAAAAAGAAAAGAAAGAAAGATAGTCGAGGAGGGTCTTGATATTTCGATTCATACATGTCCTACGTCACAAACTTAAACCAATTGGTGTGGGGGATTAGCCCTTGCATAAGATTCTCTAATTTTGGAATACATTTAGTGTTAATAACTTTAATTTGTTTTGGTACCATACTCAATCCAATACTTCATTCGAGTGAGAGGGATGAGATGAATGGCGTGGCTTATCTTCAGCACGAGTTTGCTGTATCAAAATTTGTGTAATTTTTTTTTCTCTCTCTCTTAATGGCACATCCTAAATGGATGCATCTATGAGTAGAATAATGGTAAGATTAACTGTTTTTAATTAGGAATATCTTGGACCAGAATAGTTTGGGTCCTTGCCAACAATTATCCCGTCGGAACTTAGCAATTGTTTTCAACTCGTATTTCGTAAACTGAAACATACTCTGATTAAGCTTACCATTTGACTTTGCAAATATGTAGGACAAACTTATGGATAGATCATTGTTATAGCTTATGAGAGGACTGAGGACTGGTATTATTTTGTAGTATTTTCTGCCTTGATTTCTCTCACTGTTTGACTTTGATTCAAGAATTCAGATTACGATTATGACAGCAGAATACAGACAACACAGAAAACCGCCAAAACTATTTTTCCATCACACACGCAAAAAATAAAAAGTTAAAAACACCCCACTCCCAAACCGTGCTCAATTTTGTACTTCTTACTTCTTAGTACAACCGTGCTCAATTTCAATATCCATTTTATTATATTGTTTTAATTCAACAAAATAAATAGTTTTTATGTTATATATAGAGATATGAAAATGCACGAATTTTATTCCCCTCGAAGTGAAAACCGTGATAAAAGTGAACACGTTGGAGATGGGGTTGACGTCCACAAAATCACTAAAGTGAAAAACTTTGAATTTAATGCAAGCGAAACACTCTTTTAACGTATAGGGTCCAGAAATGGCAGAATCCAATAGTACTACTACTATATTGAAAACGAAGGCTGGCTTTTGTCTTGAGGTACATGAACAAAATCCCTGATTGCTTCCTCCTTTTTACGTGCTCATCTACAGTTTGATAAATCACAAACAAAAGGGGGAGAAAAAAGTGAAAAATAAAGAAGAACAAAATTTTAACCAAAAAGATATAAATTCAACCAAAAGAAGATAGATAACATTGACTATTGGCACCTCTAGAGACTTGTTATATCTAATCCACTAATGAACTTCTGATTTTACACTCGAACTTGTCATCCCGAACTTATGTACCTCCCACTGTGATTTGCAGACTATTGCAGTGGGCGTGGATTTACCTATTTCTAATAGGGTTTCCGACGTTACCCAAAAAAAAAAAAAAGATAGATAAAATTTATTACCTAGCTAGTACCAACTAGTGGAATATGTCCTTCAAATAACATGTATAGTACGTGAACATTCAAATGTTTTGCACTGGGTCGTAATTGTCGTAACTTAAATATTCATATACATGATAATTGTGATCTTACGGTTTGAATCATTACTAAATCATTCAATCGATAAGATCATATATGATGATTCTCTACTAAAGATTAGAATTATAATTGCTTTGAATGTGTGTGTGTGTTTATTTTTTTATTTCCCAAGGTTACATGATTTTATGAGGCCCTCAAAAATTTCAAAATCAAAGTGAAAAGGAAAAGTTACTAATAATGAGGTTGACCTTACATTTTTATTCTTACTCTAGATGTGTGACCTTGGAGAGGGTAACTAGCACTAGCTAGATAGGACCAATAACCCTATAGACTGAATAGTGAGTGAGCCAGGAGGATCGAAACCCCAAAATGTATGTACCCTCATCTCATAGACCAAGGCCATATATATAAACTCTCTCCAATCTGTCATTTGTGTAGTCTGTTTCCTTCCCAGTGCTGTGATAAGCACATCATAAATGAGGTCACCTTGTTTTTGACATCTTGTTTACCTTAGTATTTCCTTTGTATCATTCCCAACAACAACAACAATTCAAACCAAGCCAAGAAGAAGAATACAAAAACAAAAAAAAATCCCTAAAAAAAGATGGAGTTTCGAGCTGGAAGAAGAAGCAGAGACAATAATAACATGCTTAGTACTAGTAGTCCTGAAAGGATTAAGATATGCACAAATCAGCAACAGCAGAATCAGCAGCAAACAACAAAAAGGTCGATGATGATGAGGCCGGTGCCAAGTTTCAAAAGGGTTCAAGTGGTTTATTACCTTTCCAGAAATGGGCAATTAGAACATCCACATTACATCGAAGTAACTCATCTTGCATCTCAACAACTTCGACTTAAAGGTAAGTAATTTTATAATCTGTAATCAATTTGCATGAATTGTTTTTATAATGTGGCTGTGAAGATGTGATTTATCATTTATATGCAGATGTGATTGATCGGTTAAATGTACTAAGAGGTAAAGGCATGCCTTCTCTGTATTCTTGGTCTTGCAAAAAGAGCTACAAGAATGGTTATGTGTGGAATGATCTGTCTGAAAATGACATCATTTATCCATCAGAAGGAGCAGAATACATTCTCAAAGGATCCGAAGTAATTGTTGATGGTTCAACATCAGGTTCGTCATTTTTCTTGTTGGAATCTCTGTTTTTCTTTTTTATTTGCTGATTTTTTATTTGTCAAACTTGAATTGAATAAAAAATCAGGGAAATTTCAACAGCTTCCATCCATGGAGAACTTCAGTTTCCATCCAAAACAGAGGCCTGTAAGTAATCATTCCTATGAAGAAGAACATGATGACAATGAAACAGAGGAATTGGGAGTTGTTGATGATGAAGAGTATGAAGAGAAAATAAGGTACAGTGACCCTGCTTCCACAACAACAAGAAGATGCTCTAAAGGAGTTTCAACTGATGAAATTCATCACCAACAAGAAAAACAAAAAAATCCCAGAAGCCATACAACTGAAATTAATTTGGAGAATTCATCTTCACCACCATCAACCACGTCTTCCAGTCTCTCAGATAAAGGGGGGAATGAAAACAACAGCTCAAAGAGATTCGAAGACGGTGACCCGTTAATTTCCCGGAATTCAATGCTGTTTCAGATCCTTGCATGTGGCGGTGGCGGTGTTGGGGGTTCATTGTCTTTTAGAGGGAAGCATTTCTCGGCCGGGAAGCAGCAACACCAACAACCGCCGCCGCCTTCGCCACCACCGAAGGCGGCAGGGGTGGTGATGGTGGCTAGAAGGAGGAGGAGCAGCTGTAGTGATCTTCATAAAGAGGTATTCTGCAAAAGCCTGATGAATAATAATAATAATAATAACAGTAAGAAGATGAATGTGGAAGAAGATGATGATGAGATCAAGTGCATGTCGGAAAATCCGAGGTTTGGGAACTTGCAGAGTGAAGAGAAAGAGTATTTCAGTGGGAGCATTGTTGATTCGATATCTAATGAAGAAAGACTCCACGTTGTGCCCTCTGGTTTGAAGAAATCATCCTCTTATAATGAAGAAAGGTCAGTTCTTGATTGATTAATCTAATTCTTCTACCAATTTTCTAACTTTGTGTCATACATTATGTTCATATCATACTAGTGAAAAGAATTCATTAGCTTAGTTTATAATGTTTGATTAAGTAAGTGATTATTTTGAGTTAAGTATTTTTTGTGCTATGTAACAATTGTAGGAACAGAGGAATAGTCTGAATGTGATAAAGTGTTTGTTTAGAATATCATAACTGCACAAAATGAATCGATGAATTTCACTTCTTTGAAACGACAAATGAAATCAATTTATGTACTAGTTGTATAGTTGGCTAAAGATTGGTCATCCGGAAATCTAGCTTTGCTCATAATAAATACTCTGCAGAAGAATAGTACAATGCGGCTTTGTTGATTTACGTAGCTGGGTAAATATAATTGCAGAGAATTCAATTCCACATTGTACGTTCTTGCAAAAAAAATTGACTCTACGCACACAGGTGAAAAATAAATGAGGTTGAAATGTGGCATTCATAATGAATTCCCCCTTTATTCTGTAAATATGCAGGGGCTCGAAACTAGCTGTAGGGGATGCAGGAGTAGGTGCTGATCAGGAAGACGTGAAAAAGGCAAAAAGTTGTTCTCATTCCAAGAGCAAATGCATCCCCAAGATAATGTCTCCTTACTCAAAACAACCCTCCAAGAAATGACCCATCTCTGAAAGGCTACAATTAAATGGTCTTATTGGCCATCTCAATCAGGGAAGATATTTGAGATATTGGATGATGATCGATCCACCTGTAGCTTTTAGATAGTGTATATGATCGAAATCATTAAAGAGTTTGATGGAACCATGTCGTTATTGAAGCTCACTTTTTCCTCCGTCTCCAGTTTACTGGAAATTGGCAGTTTCTTCTTCGAAATGTGTAAAATTTGCCATCTTTATTTGGTGTTTGAAGCAATTTAACAATGAACAGAGACTAGGTTGGTCCGATAAACTGCTTATGAATAGCGGTGATCAGTTCAATATCTATCCTCATTATACATGTAACGTACTTTCCCAGTCTTAAAATTATTGTTCAGTTTGAATTTTTTATCTTAGTTCAAATTAAACTAAAAATGAAAATTCAACTTCCATTACGGTAAATATTACGGGTTTATACAATTTCCAAATTTATAAGACTAGAAATCCATTAGAGTAATAATTTTTTCTACATGATCGGTTAAGGATTCGGATCTTCTGATCCAAGAGGAGAAACCCAACCATAAAGGACTTTGTGCCGGTGGATCAGAGGATCGATCCTAACATTGGGCCAAACCTTGTGGACAAATGGTTTATAAACTGCAACCATTTTCCTGGAAATTTAAGTGACTCAAATTCTGCATTTCTTTGGCTGCTGTACAGTCCTGGAAGCTGAACTCTAGGGAATTCTCTTTGGTCTTAGAATTGCTTGGGACTTGGGTTTTAAACATGTTATTTTGGAATGAGACTTTCTTGAGACAGTTAGGCTTTTGTCAAACGACAACTCCTCGTTTGTTAATAGTAATATTTTATGTAAAATTAGACTACTATTAGACTTAATTGGCAGGTAATTGTCCGACATGCCTGGCGGATTCTAAATGCTTTCGCGGATGTCTTGACAAAATTCGGTCTCTCCTGCCCGAAAGGAAGTCATATTTGTCAATGCCTCCATCTAGTATAGAAGAGAAGCTTTCCATAGATCGAGTTAGATCATCCCATCTCTATAGGGATGTTTTGTAAACCCAAGCCTTAGAGCTTCTCTCATATATAAAAAAAAAATTCTGCATTTCTTGATGAAGTTCATTCATATCTCTTTAACTACTTCAATGAGGAGGTATAGTATTGTGTCTATGATAGATCTCGCGTGGTAAACCTTTTTCCCATTCAGTTAAAAAAAAAAAAAAAAAGATGCCCTCCACTTTCAATGTTACAAGTAGTATTTGTAAAGTGGTATAGAAACCGAGATTTTCATATATGATCAATGTATAATATTAGGTCTAATATAGGCCAATACAACAACATGATAAAGAAGGAAATGATTTAACCTTATCCCTATCTCAATATACAAGGAAATACATATCACTATATTTAATACTCCCCCTCAAGTTAGAGCATGAAGATTGGTAATGGCCAACTTGTAAAGGAAGTTATGAAACTGATCGCATCCAAGAGCCTTAGTTAGAAAATCTGCAAGCTGAGAAGCTGAGGTGATAGACAGAGGAACTAAGAGCTTGGACTGCAAATGTTGCCGGATAAAATGACAGTCAATTTTGATATGCTTTGTACGTTCGTAAAAAACATGATTGGAGGCAATATGAATAGCTGCACGATTATCACAAAATAGAGGAATAGGACCTGTCGAACGAACACGTAACTCCGTGAGAAGACGACGAAGCCACACGAGCTCACTAGGAGTAGTAGCCATAGAGCGATATTCAGCCTCTGCAGTAGATTGAGACACAACAGATTGCTTTTTTGATTGCCAGGAAATCAGTGAGGAGCCCAGAAAGATAATAAAACCCATTGTTGAAAGATGAGTAGTAGAACAACCTGCCCAATCAGTATCACAATATGCACAGGGTTGTAAAGAATTACTAGAGGGAAGCAATCAGTTTTTAAGTAACGTAAGACTCGAAGAATGGCATCATAATGCGGAACTCGTGGTTGGTGCATAAACTGACTAAGATTATGAACAGCATAGCTGATATCCGGACGGGTAATAGTGAGATAAAGGAAGCATCCAACAATACGAAGGTAGTGCCCAGGACCAGGAAAAAGATCTCCAGAATCAAGAGCAAGCTGATGTTTTTACTCCATCGGAGTGAAACACGGCCGACAACCAAGAAAACCACATTCGGTAAGAATATCCAACGTGCAGTTCCGTTTGGTAAGAACAATGCTAGTAGGAGAGCGTGCAACCTCAATACCAAGGAAATACTTTGATGGCCAAGATCCTTGATCTGAAACTGACAGTGAAGATGTTGTTTGATTTGAGCAATCCGACGAGAATCATTACCGGCAATAATATATCATCGACATAAATGAAAACAGCCACAAAAGATTTGGCATGACACTAAATGAATAAGGAAGAATCAAAAGCAGACTCTGTGAAGCCAGCCGTAGTGAGTGAGCGAGTGAATTTATGATACCAGTTGCGTGAAGGCTATTTAAGTCCATAAAGGGACTTGTGCAATCGACAAACACGATACTCCCCCTGTTTCGCAAAGCCTTGAGGTATCTTTATGTAAACCTCTTCATCAAGATCACCATGTAAGAAAGCATTAGTGACATCTAATTGATGAAGTTCCCATCGACATACAGAGGCAACAGCAAGAAGACAACGAACAGTAACAAGCTTAGCAACAGAAGCAAAAGTTTCATGAAAATCAATATCCTTAACATGGGTATAACCTTTGGCCACAAGACGGGCCTTATACCATTCAATGCTGCCATCAGCATTAAACTTGACTTTGTAGACCCATTTAGAATCAATAGGTCGTTTGCCAGGAGGTAAAGGAACAAGGTTCCAAGTGTTATTCGCTTCTAGTTCAAAGATCTCCTTGGTCATAGCATCCCGCCAGTGTGAAAATTTAACTGCTTGAGAAAAGGTATTCGGCTCATCTACAGAAGAGATGGCTACTAACAAAGCTGTATGATTAGGGCTAAAACGTGAATAACACAAAGTATGAGATAAGGGATGTACCGTAGGACGAGGATGGATTGTTAGGAAGCAGATATGGTGGGAGGTTGACTTGAAATCCATCAAGATGGCGTGAAAGCTGAGTAGTGCACTAAGCAGGTGGAGGTTGCGGAGGTGATGGAATACAAGATTCTAAGGAGTCCTGTTGCGAAGAAGATGATGGAGAGGATGAGATAATAGGATCAGAAGAGGGAAAAAGATCAGCATGTGAAGAACCAACCCCCAGAGAAGATGTAGACAGTAGAGGATTGGAAGCTGCTTGGCGAGACAGATCATCAGGGTCAATGAAAAGAGTCGATGAAGTAGTGGCTGAAGAAAGAGAATATGGAAAAATTGTCTCAAAAAAACGAACATCCCCAGAGGAATAAATCACTCGGCTGGCCAAATCATAGATACGATAGCCTTTCTAGCCATAAGGATAGCTAACAAAGATGCTGGGTTGCCCTCTAGAAACAAATTTGTCACGAGATTTTCTAGGGACATGTGTATAACAAAGACAGCCAAAAATTCGTAAATGAGAATAATCAGGAGTAACACCAAACAGAGTTTCATAGGGGGATTTATTTTTGAGCACAGACAATGGCATACAATTGATGAGATCAGCAGCAGTCAAGATACACTCGCCCCAAAAAGCAATTGGTATGAGCCTGAAATCTTAAGGATCGAGCTACTTCCAAAATGTGTCTATGTTTACGTTCTACGAACTCGTTTTTTTGTGGAGTGTGAACACAACTGGTTTGTTTATCCAAACCATGATCAAAAAAATGATTCAATAAATCAGTGTGGGTAATTCTAAACCATTGTCTATTTGAAACACGTTGATGACAGTATGAAATTGTGTAGAAACCCAATTAAAAATAACAAGAAGTATTTTTTGACTTCAGATTTATTTTTCATAAGGAAAACCCAAGTTGCTCGACTATGATCATCAACAATAGTAAGGAAAAACCGTGCACCAGAATGAGAAGAGTATGATAAGGACCCCAAATATCACAATGAACTAAATCAAAATTATTCAAAGTTGTAGTCTGACGCACAGGAAAAGGTAAACGTGTCTGTTTAGCTTGACAACAATCATCACAAAATGAAATGGAATGACTACTAGAAGCTGAAATACTTAGAACTAAAGAAAGTCGACTGAATAGCTTATGACCTAACCGATGATGCCATAACAAAGAAGTGTCATGCTTGGTTGTCATCAAAACGTGTTGCCTGCTACCAGGATTTAGATGTTCCAAGAAATATAATCCATCACGTTCTCTACCCGCTCCAATCAACCTCCTCGAGCGTAAGTCGTGTATGAAGCAAAAATCAGACCCAAAGGTGAAATAACAATTCAAATCCTTGGTTAATTTATTGACAGAGACAAGGTTAATTTGAAATTGTGGATTGCCCAAAACATCATAAAAAATCATATTCTTGTCGAATTAAAAATGGCCCACAGTTTGAACTGGGACTCGATCACCGTTGGGAATTTGGACAAAAATGGGATGCTTCGATCGATGAGAATCCTATAAACAATGTATTAAAGAGCTTGTGTGATAAGTGGTGCCAGAATCGGCAACCCGTTTTAGCTTACCACTGGCGGATGATTGAGGAACATGAATGGTGGACGAAGAAAGCTGATTGCCAAGCATGGTCAAAATCTGCTGAAGTTGAGCAGTAATCAGAGAAGCGAATGTCGACTGAGAATAAGATAATGGCTGCTGGTCGGATGTAACTACCGCCGAAAAAGGACGAGACTTCTATCGTTGAGGCTGGCGCCAACCAGAAGGATATCCGATCAATTCATAACAGTGCTCAAGCGTATGATTGGTACGGCTGTAGTGCATACAGAAGAGCTTGTTGGGACCGCTGCTACGCTTCTCAACTCGGTCACGGCCATCACGTCGGCCATCATTAGAAGCTTTAGACAACAAAGTGGTGGCTTCAATCACAGGAAGGCGAGCATCAGCAACATTCCTCTGCGTCTCATCACCTACGACGATGAAATACGCATGGCCCAAAGTCGGTAGAGGATCAATGCTAAGGATCCGGGATCGAATGGTTTTGTATGTGTCATCAAGGCCCATAAGGAAATCGAAGACTTTTTCTTCTTCTCTCAGAATCTAGAGTTGGCCGTTGACACCACATGTGCAATTGCCATAAGAACAAACCGGCAGCAGATGCAAATTTTGGAGTTCATTCCAAACGGCTTTCAGTTTGCCGTAATAAGTGGCGGTGGGAGACTTTTCTTGCTGCAAAAGAGCAATTGTGGTCTTCAATTCATAAGCACGAGAGGCTATTCCCTGAGTAAATCGCTCCTGGAAATCTTGCCAAATTTCCAGGGCAGTGGTGGTGTG